AAAAAAAGCAAGCAGAAACTAGATCCAACAATATGCTGCATATAAAAGCACATTTAACCGAAAAAGAAATTCATAGATTGAAAATCAAATGATGAAAAGCAATATTCCATGTGATGGGAATGTTTCTATTTGCAGACAAAATAGATTTGAAGCTAAGACTGATCAAGAGAAACAAAGAAGGTCACCATACCCTTGTTAAGGGAAAAATCCAAGAGGAAGAGATAACAATCTTAAATATATGCATCAAGTACCAGCCCACACAACTATATAAAACAAACATGCACAGAAATGAAAAATCAATTAAGCACTAATGCAATCATAGTGAGAGACCTCAATACCCTACTGTCACAGATAGATCAACTAGACAGAAAAAAAGAAAAAGAAATATAAGAGCTGTGCCGGGGTCCAGACTCAGTGAGAGTTCAGGTCCTGAGGAGGAGGGTTGGAGTCGGCGCTTGTGAAGGAATGAGACATACTCTGTAGGGATGAGGTGCTGTGCCTTCCGAACATTGGAGGACTTCTTTATTTATATCATAGTTAAGGTTACATACGGAAATTGGCATACGTTTACAATTTCTAGATACAATCTTTTATGATCATTTTTCCAATAAAATACAGCACATACCTATTTTATTATTGTTATTTCTGGGAACATTTTATCTATTGCCTCAGCTATTATTAATCAAACAATTTCCCAGTAAAAGCGTAAATGAAAGCAAAATCAAAAGAACAATCCAAGCTTGCCACCATTTTTCAAAGTTCCTACATCTATTTCGACTACAATGGAAAGACTGCAGCCAACTCCTAGCAGGTCACTTGGTTTTGATAAAGTACTGCTGTGGGTATTCAACTTCTTGGTTAAACTTTTATTTTATATAGTCAGAAAGCAAGTACTTTGCACTTACTAAGCCTTTCTATAATAACTATTCAGCTGCCTGGCAATAGTATTTACTTGTTCTTTAGTGTGTAGACATCACTGTGTTCCTGAAAATTTCATTCTTTCTGCAAAGGTCAAATCTTGATATCTTACTCATTTTTTTATCTTTCCACACCATTCTAACTTTACCTATGTAAGCCCCAGTGTAGGAAACGGGGGGTGGGTGTTGCCTAGTAGCCATGAGATCACTCTACCACAAATCTTTGAGCACCTTTCTGGGATTTTTATAAGCAATTGGACACTTGGAAGAAAGCTGGGGGGTTCTTGTCTGAGTAAAATCCTCAATTACTGAAATACTGGAAACCCCTTCAAAGAAAGTCCCTGGATCAGGGGTTGTGCTTAGGGGCTCAATGACTGACACAACGGACACATATTTCTCAGAAGTAGCTTGTACAGGTTTTTTCATTAAAACCAAATTTCCTGTAATTGCAATTAAGCCAATCAAAAGTGCAAGCAAAAATAAAAGCCGGAGCGATGCTTTCAACCCAAGGCCCATCAATGCTGGATCTTTGTCAAGCAGCAATAGAGGAACCGTGGGCCTCACCAAGCTGAACCAAAACTTTCAGCAAATATGAACTTAGCAGATATCTACAGAATGTTTCATACCAAAACAACAACAGAAAATATACTTCTCAGCTACACATAGGATTTTCTCTGAAATAAACGACATACTAGCTCACAGAAAATGCTTGAGTAAATGTAAAGGAAGTGAAATTATTCCATGTATATTATCATATTATAGTGCAGGGAATTTGGAAATCAATGGAAAAAGAAACCATAAAACTGAAAAGAAATTTTATTATTATACAAAAAGTAAAGGCTGTGATCCAAGAGACTTTGTACTATAGTAAAACACCATACAGCAGTTACAGCAGCACAGTTTGCAAAGCATTACAGGAGGAAGTACTTTAACCTTTTTTGTGATTGGCTGTTATGATTAATTTTTTATGGGAAATGGCTAAACACATTTGTCTGTAACTGGTTGAATTTCATTGAATCATGCTGATAAGGATATAAAGCTTACATTTTGTGTTATGATAATAGATTAGTTCTGAGAAAGTCAGGATGACTTCAATTTGGGTTATATGTTTATAGACAGTTGGTTTTGGGTAGATCCACTGTGGCTTACATTTTTAATTTTCTTTCACAAATCCAATTTAAGACCTTTGCATTTTAGCCTTTGAGTTTACTCAATATATTATGGTACAGGTGTCCTTGGACTCCTGAAATTCTCTTTTGTGTTTTGTCTTTACAATTGTTTATCATTGCTTTTTGCTTTTTTCCTGCCTGTGTCAATTGATTGATTTCTGTTTTCTTCTTTTAAATGGAAAAACTTAAGCTTGGGCACTGCCACTAAAACCAATTTCTGGGGAAAAAGAAGCCAGAAATAGCCAAAGAACCTAGAATTTAGACATATATATATATATGTATGTCTATACATATATCTATATCTATATCTATATCTATATCAATGGTTTTAGCTAAAACTCAGGTGCCTGCTTGCTACATCTGGTAAAATTGGTCCTCAGTGAGGAGAAAACATATCCATTTTTCATTGATTTCCATGATGCATGATGATTACTCAGCAGCATCTTGAACTTGGATTTTTATAAGTGAAAAACAATGCTTTTGATATTGGAATTTATGATACAAAGTGTCTTTTTTTTTTAACTAGGGATCTAACTCAGGACCTTGTGCTTCCCAGGCATGCTTGGTGCCACTGAGCTAAGTCCCCAGCCCACAAAGTGTCCTCTTAATGCTTTCATTTGATATTTTTGTGTGGATGTCCAAGTAAGAAAAATCTTTGACACTAGCTAATAGTCGCTTTTTTTTGGTGTCCTCAGCAGCTCCCTTCTTGGTGAGATAAGCTGCTCTGTCCAATGTGGTAGCCCCTGGGCTCATGTGGCTATTTAATTTAAATTAAGTAATTTCATTAATTGCATTTAAATATAAATTTAAAATTTAGTTGCACTGGCTGCACTTTACCTGTGCAGCAGCCACATTTGGTTAGTAGCTACAATGTTGGGCAATGAAGATTACAGAATATTTCTGTTGTTGTTAAAATTTCTACTGGACCAGAGGTAGTAAGCCTGTCATAGTACTTGCAGCTTTTTACACCTTGGATTAGTGCTACATGGGAGACAATATCATCCTGCAGAATTTGGAAATGAGAATCTCAGCAGTGTCCTGTAATGTTCTTCCCAAACCAGTTGGTCCTGTAGTGAGTAGTGACCAGCGTGGGAAGCAATGCTCTCTATGGAGGTGTTGCTCCTGCATGCGAAGGCTAGGCATGGTGCTCACAGGATATTGGATATGGTTTGTATGAAGTAACAGACCAAGGAGTAATTTGCTTCTATGATGATAACATGGGCTGAAGGGCTAACTTCTATATAGCAATGGGAATTCTTTTATTCACTTTTTAAAAAATTTAAGGCAGGGTCTCATTAAATTGCACAGGTTGGTCTTAAGTTCCTGGATTTCAGTGATCCTCCTGCCTCAGCTTCCTAAGTAGATGAGACAACAGGTGCACTCTACTGCACCCAGCATTGAGACATTTTATTTTATGTTTTTGTAGTAGTGAGGATTCAATCCATGGCCTTGCTCATGTCAGGGAAGAGCTCTACCACTGAGATATATTCCTTGCCTGGAATCCTCACTTTTAAAAATGATTTATGGAGGCCAGATATTATGGTTTAGAGCTAAAGTGTCCACCCAAAGTGTCATGCATTCAGAGGTGGGGCTTATGAAACGCAATTGGATTATGAGGGTGCTGAGCTCATCAGTGAATTAATCTACTGACTTCCACTGAATGTGCTGTTAGTAGGTGGAATCTGGTTGGAGGTTGGTCACTGAGAACATGACCTGGAAGGGTGTATTCTCATCTTTGGTTCTTTTATTCTCTCTCTGCTTCTTGGCTCCCATGTATTGAGTAGCTTTCCTCTACCATTCCCTGTTGTTTCTACCTTGGAGCCAACCATGAACTAAATCCTCTGAAAACTGTGGGCCAAAATAAACTTCGCCTTTAGCTTACTGGTGTCAGATATTTTGTTTCAGCAACTGGCAAGTTGACTGATACCCCAAGCAATGGTGGAGCAATTTTGGCTGAAGCCTGGTTGCAAAGGTTGGGCATGGGTCAGATCAGCTAAGAGCATTTGGCATTCCTTTGAAGTGTTGCTTTCTCCCACCATCTTGCCAGACTGGTTTAATTCTCATCTGAACCAACAGGCTAGGTGAAGATGATGGAATTCTGCCCAGATCCTGTAGCACCAGGGGCACAGTGGCTGCCAGTTATGTGTTGGAAACAATCCGTGATATTATTGGTAGAGAACCCTCTTGTACCCATTGGGGCAGGTGGGACTTTCTAGTACATGTGTGCATTCATTGCACGAAGAGCTTTGGTGCTTTGAGGGAGAAATCAAACCCTTTCCTTCTCTTTTATTCTGGGGTAATTTCAGCACTGGTAATAAATCTAAGAAGAAAGAATTTCTACCTTTTCATTGTCAGTGATGTTAGACAAATTCATTTTTACCTCCTGATTGGATTCTTTCAGGTATCATCTTCTCAAATTTCTGTTCTAACCCGGCCTGGTGTTTGACTTCTGTGCAGAGGTGACAAATATGATTCCCCCCTCATTGATTACTCTCTATTCGTTTCTTCTACATTTCATTGGTATCCAAGTTTTTGTAGCTCAGTCTTTGCCTTTCCCCTGGGTTCCGGCGTCACACTGAATCTGAATTAAAACAAATAAACAAGAATTTTCTTTCCAGTTGTCATCTCTCATATCTTCTTCAGGATAAAAGTGGCAGATGCCGTGTTAAGTAAGATTAAGTGGTGTCTGTCCTCAGGAAGTCACTCAGCAGGAGCAACAAATCATTGTTGTTACTTACAATAAAAGAAAAAGCATATTTTGCCTTTGTCTTTAATTTTTATTACTCTTCAAATTTGATATATAGAAATACAGACATTCAAACAGTTCTTTTATCTATTACACAAACGTATCAATACGAGGAAGGTGGTGCTATATTTAAGAGCATTTGTGCCAACCCTCCCTGTGTTTTAATAGGGAGAAAGTGATAGAATTGAAGGAAACTGCTCCTGTACCACTGTGGAGGAAGGAAGGACAGGGCAAGAGAAGGCTGGTCTCTCCGGGGGTACAACCCTCTGGGCAGAGCTTCCCGGCAGGACCTCGGCGCACCCAGACAGGCTCCGCCCCGAACGCCTGGCTCTGCCCCCGGCGCGAGGCTCAGAAAGCCCGGAACTACAGTTCCCAGAAGACTGTGCGAGCCCAGGAGGGAAGCGGTGTCCGTTGCAGGAAAGGCACGCGAGGGGTCGGCGGCCGTGGGTGTCCGGGTTTCGAGTGGTGTGTCCCGAGGCCGCCGGGCGCTGTGCTCAGAGGACGCGGCCCTGTGTAGCTG